AAATAATAATATCATCATTTTATATAAAATATAATAATGCTTAAAAATCTTTCTCGTCATAAAATAGATTTTTTTCATTATAAATTATTTAAAATATGATATTATATATATATATATATATAAGCTTTCTTTTCTTTTCTGTCTTTTTTCTTTTAAATAATTTGTAATAATTGTTCTAATCAATAATTGAATCCGATTAAAATAGACCCAGCGTCACAGACTAGTTGATACCGTTATAATACTTAATGAAAATCTAAGATTCATTAGTTTTCAGTATTTACAGGTTCTCGGGCATGATGAATTCTTACATGTTTATTGTGATTAGACTTCGTACCACTTGATTTACCACAAATGTGACACGTGTAAGGTCTTGCTCCTGAGTGCACTCTTAAATGTTCTTTTAGATAATAAGACCTATGGAAAGTTTTGTTGCAAACGTCACACGTGTATGCCTTGTTCTCCTCGTGTTCTTTAACGTGTCTTAAACAGTTATATTTTCTAATGAACTGAGCTCCACAGTAATTACACGTATATGGACGTACGTTTCGATGAGAATTCATATGAGCAGTATAATCACTGTGTCGATAAAATGCGGCGCTACACTGGTTGCACTTGAATGGTTTAGTGCTGCGCGCTGCATGAGTCCACTTGTGCAATTGTAAATTCCATTTGGTACTAAAAGCCTTGGAACATACCTGACATTCGTACGGTTTTTCACCGTTATGGACACGCATATGAACAGCTAAGGATGATCTCAAATAAATACATTTACATATTGGACACTCGACGTTTTCGTTTTCTCTTTGAGCATCAGGAACAAATCTCCTATTGTGAGCACGACGCATATGACGAGTTAAACTAGCCATATGTATAAATCTTTCATTACAGTATGTGCATGCCTTAGGTTTCTCGTCGTGCGTCTCCTTATGCCAAGCTAATTTTTTCTTCGTATGGAATATCTCTCCACACTGACATATGTAGTCTTTTAATTTCTTTTTAATATTAAGATGATGTCTATTCTTGTGCTGTGTTAAATTGGAATATCTACGAAATGTTTCATTACACAAATTACATTTAACAGGGGCATTACCTGTATGTCCGTTGGTATGTTCATCTAATTTTTGTTTAGTTAAAAATGCCTTATCACATAGCGAACAAGGGAACGGCTTGATTCCTAAATGTCGTTTCATGTGTAACTTATAATTCTGTTTTCTATAAAAGTACTTGCCGCATTGTCCGCATTCTAACGGATGTATTTTTAAATGAGCATTAAACAATACAACCGATGGAAATTCTTCGTTGCATATTACGCATTTAGCCTGTTCACGAATACGTTTGGATACTTCAACTATATGCATTCTCTTATGATGTAATTGTAAAGCTTTTTCACTACTAAATCGTTGATTGCATAATGCACATGTTACTTCTACTGTAGAAGGAATTGTCAAGTTTTCACCTTTCTGATCTGTCTCTATTTTTGTTAGATCTGGTTGTGGTGGTTGAAGTTGATGTAATAATGGTTGTTGATGATATATTTGTTGCACGTGTAACCCTGGTACAAAAATATCATCAAACACATTCATACGACCATCTAATAATTTAATATCTTTAACTTCTGGTGCTTCCATTGCATCTCTACTACTGCTAGGTCCAGATTCTTTGTGCACCATTGTACTATGTACTCTACGTTCTTTAGGACAGTCAAATACCTCAGGGCAATGTGAACACTTAAATGTCCTTTTGGTAGGCGTCTTTCTATCACGATCTAAGAATAAGCTAGATGTAAAATGTGTTGCTAAAGATCGACTATCTAACAATGGACCACTAATTTCATTGTCCGATCCTTCCGATTCTTCCCAACTTTCTCTTGCCATTAGATCATAAGAAGTTGACATTCTTGAAGATTCTTGACCCATATAAACCTGTTGCAAAAACAAATTACAATTATTTTTTATATCATAAAATTTCCAAAATATAATATACATTAAAAAGAATTATAAATTAATATGAAAATTAATAAAGATAATGACCTGCCAAGCTGATTGTTCTGTACAACCATTACTTTCTTGTTCCGATAATTCGCCTCTGGGTGGCATAGTCTCGTCAGCTCGCATATTAACACTTTTGACTTCCTCATCGATACCTGCACCTCCTTCGCTACTGGCCATTGATTGTTGGCTCGTCGCACTAACTGCTTTTTGTGATGATTCACTTATAAATGTACTAGGAACTAAAATTTGAAGTCCATCAAACTCAAAAACGTTCATTGGACCAGCATGAGCATCTTCATTAATATTAAGAAGTTCCATTGACTGTTTCTGAATAATTGATTTGTTAGAATGATAATTCTTTGATTCGGTGCTTGTAGTTGGATTAATAGATTCGGATAAATTTAAAAGACTATGATTTTTGTTATTAGGTAACGAATAAGAATCTTGTATTAAAACAGGCTGTTGTGAATGAATTGGCGGAAATAGGCTAACGTGTTCTGTTATTACAGATTGATGATAAACATGATTAGAATTATCTCCTTTCTTTTCCACATTTTCACATACGTTCTCTTCGTATTTATTTACTTTAACTTGTTCTTCAATCTGAGGGCAACTAATAGGATCCTTTTCCATCGTAATTTCACCTAAATCGTTACTTTCCTCATCGTGACTCAAACTATCTGCATCCATATGACAAAATGAATGTACGGATGCAGGAGAACAAGGTTTACTTAAATCTTTTCTAACTCTTAGTACTGATATACCGCTAATGGCAGACAATGGAGTATGAGATCTAACAACATCTGAACTTTCGCCATATTTTGTAAAAGGTGTATGAGGACTAGGTATTGCTTCTATTTCCATATCCGCTTCATCAAAATTATCTTCTGTCACATTCTTATCTTCTTCCTCTTCCTCTTCTTCATCTTGCAACGTGGTAGCATCAAATCCAGCAGGATAAACACTGAGAAATTCATTCGACCCATATTCAGAACGTACTGAATACGTTCTAGTTGATTTCTTTCGTACTGCTGGCGAAGGTGGAGCAGATAAACTCTCCTTGTAATGATATAAAATATAATTTTTGTCAGATTTTTCTTCTACACATATTTTTGGTTCCTCTGTTATTTCCATTTCTATATGACATTCATCAATATCATCATTATTTTGAGAACTCGGAGTAACATCTATTATATTAGGAGTTATTATTTCTTCGTCTGTGTGAATCGGCGAATTTTTCTTTTTTTCTTCTTCCTGCTGTACATCATCCTCCTTGGTTGTAGAATTATTAAATTCCGATTCCATAATATTGATTAATAACTGTTCCAATTGTTCAACCTCAGGTTGCACTATATCTTTAATCGTTTCTATAGCAGGAACTTGAGACGGGACAGATTCATTTTCGCTTTTTTCCTTTTCCTCGGTTAAAGATTTATCCTCTTCTATTTTTTCTTCTTCAATTTCCAAAGCACTTTCTAATACACCTTGAGGATTTACATCGAGTTTACTACTATCGTCTTTGTATTCTTGATCGAACCTTTGCGTTTCTGATTGTTCTTCGTAATGAGTAGATTTGCATTGTACGATAGAAGCAACCATGTGCGTTGTTTCTCTTTCATCTATATCAGGCAGTACGCTTTCGGCATTCTCGTCGTCTTCATTTTCGATGTTACAAGTTATAGTTAAAGATCTAGGAATGGAATTGTATTCGTGTTGCACGCTATTTTGATCCTGAATAGTATTATTTTGTATTTGTTGCGTTCTATGTTCTAATTGAATTCTATTATTATCATTTCCATCTTGTTGTATGGAAGTATTATTGTTGGATACTTCGGGCGATGCAGGGAAATTAATGTCAGGCAGATCATGTTCGTTTTCTACTTCTGACTCTGGCAATATTTCAGGTAAGATCTGTTTAGGTTCAGAACTATTGACAGGTACTGTGATGGTAGTCCTGGTATTTGTTTCGCCTGACATACTAACCACAGGTCTCATCCTAGTGGTATTAGGAATGGCTGCAACCGGAGAGATCATTTGGACAGTAGGTATCTGTTGCTGTTGATACATACCGTAAGGATTATACAACATTTGCATCATCTGATTAGTCTGTGGTGCCATAGCGTACTGCGGTATCATCATGGTCCCATTATTGACAAATTGTTGATAACTAAAGGAAGCGAACTGAGGAGGCATCATAGTACCAATGGGTGGACATTCAAATATAGGCCCTATGGGGTACGGTGACTGTGCAGCAGATACATGCGCAGTAGTCTGTTGTTGTTGTATGTGTTGTTGCGGTGTATTCTGTAGTGATTGTATACTAGAAGTAACAGAAGGTATTGACATAGAAGATTGAAGTTGTTGCGTCTGAGAGCTTGCTTTAATGAGTGCCTCTATGACCTGTTCCTTGGGATGTGTATCCAAATGTCTTTGAAGGCTAATACCTTCACGCAAATAAAGAGTACAAACGGGACAGGCCAAGGCCCCCCCTGGGTTGGATGGACCCCCCGTTGTAGGGTTACCAACGATGCCGATATCCATCGTGTCTAACGTGGTACGTCACTGGTAGAAATCTTTCCAACTTAAAACGCGGCAGGTCACGTCAAAAAGTGACTAATTCGATCGGTGATAGTATAAAATAATAAGATCGTGTTAAAGCCGGCTTTATTATTATGAGCTTTAGCAATTACGTGAAATATATAGATTTGTCTCTTTCTCTCTTGTCTAGTTATCTCGTACCGCGTTAGTCTCGGCCGGCGGCGGGCGACTCGGGTCGCATTTCTCGGGCCCTGGATCAGGCCTCTGGACTCGCTCGGACGCAACATACCCAACACGGTGTTGAAGCAAGCTCTGCCCCAAAAATATCGACGTCCATGGCTGCCTTCTTCTTGGGTCTTGCGATGGAGTTACCAGCACAGCACTCGGCGGACAAATCGATATCCCTGTTAAATCGCCAAGCCTCCCCTGCGCTGCTCCTTATTAAATTACACCTGCACGTACCACGTAGGGTCTAACACAGTCGGTCGAACAAAGCCGGCCCGACCCTCCACCACCACGATGTTAACTTTATCAAAAACCCACCTTTAATCTTTACTGATTGATTATCAAAACGATATGTTTTTACTCTCTATTACTATTTCCCCCAAAAACACAACATAAAACAGCGACGAACAGTAGTATTTCGCCAGGGAATTAGAGCAACAAGAAGTCTGCCTGGTGAGCATCGCGCGCCCCCTTGCAGATTCCCACTACAGACACAGCCCTGCCTTACTCGCTCGGTGGACGGAACCTACCGATTATAAACACCTGTTTTCTATCCTACCGACAGGTCACACTGCATATAATCTTCAGGGACGTATTTATGATCATTGGTGTCCTTCCTTTTACTTCTCAATTCACTTTAAATTCTTTTTTTCTTACTTTATTTTCAAATTTTTCAATATCTTTTTTTATCAATATTTTATTCTCTTTGCCTTCTTAATCCATTTGATTTGATTATTCTTCTTATTAACGTATACTCTGAAAAAAATTAAAAAATGTTAAATATGAAATTATCAGTAGAATTTATACTGGAATGATAAATATGAATGTTTTCTTATTAAATATTTTTGTTTAATATGATTATTATATTAATTATGGCATTCTTGTGTGTACGTCCTTGGAGATTATTATGACAAAAAGGTAATTGTGAATGCATAGAGGCGCACAGGAAAATGGTGTTAGCTATTTGTTTAACAGCGCCCTCACTTCGATTAACTAATCATATTTAAATATATACAAAGCGATATATATATAATTAATATTATAGTATGTAAGATAATAATTATTAATATTAATAATTATAGTAATATCGAATTCTTTAAATTATGGTGTATTGAGAAGTAATTAAAACAATTTCTTGTCGAATCATTCTTCATTAGTAATCATCGGCCATGTTGGTAAACTGAAGTGGAGCGAGTTTTCAAATTTAAATAGTCAACTAATATTTAAATATACTTATACAAAACAATACATACACATAATTAATATAATAGCATGTAATATAATAATTATTGATATTAATAATTATAGTAATATCGAATTCCTTAAATTATAGTTTATTGATAAGTAATTAATAACAATTTTTGTTGAATCATCCTTTCTTAGTAATCATCGTCCATGTTGGCAAATTAAAATAGCGCAATTTTTTAAATTTAAAAGACTATCGATTATATTATTTTCTGTTTCATACGTATACATATTTTTATTTATTCACATATATCTTGTAGATAATTTAAATAATATTAGATATAATATATTTTATTTAAATTAGGCCAAATAATATATATATATATATTTAATTCTGATAAAGAAATGGGGGCGCTGTGTTTCAAATACATCAGCAGTGTGTCGCATCTAAAATAAATCTATATCACCAATTTCCCCCACCATTCCCGTTTTACTAGATTGGTGATAATAAGCAGTATTATTTTCCTTCATGTTGAATCGTAATTTATAATTAAATCATAATGATTAATCTATGTTAAAAAGAAATTTAAAAAATAACATTTGTCGTGCTTGTGTGAAAAAGTTGTGACATCTTAAATTGATATAATCGAATATTGTACGACCTCTTTATTTGGCTGAATTATTTCATTTCAATTAATTTGTCCTTTGATTATTCGAAAAGCGTACGAATAACCAACAAGAATTAAAAAAGATAAACGTAAATTATCGTTGATTGTGATTTTTTGACAATATGCTAATGCAATTTAATATCAACACTGTATAACCTCTTTAATATTGCTAAAGTTCTATTATTTAATATTATTTATTATTTCCTAACCTACTTTTCATTATGGAAGGTCGTTATGATAAATTAACTTGGTTAGGTAAATATCTCTTTTTAAATCATTAATATTCATAAATTAAATAACTAAAGGAATTTATTAAATTTGGTACGCAGCTTATAATGGAATGGAATATTAATTTTCTTTTTTATTTTTATATTTCAGAAGTTAGAGATTTATTTAGAACGTGGAGAGAAAATTCAGAACGGCAAAGTAGAGATGTCGTTAATTTATGGGAAAATGTATTAGCAGGGAAGGTCAATCAACTTGGCAATGAGAGTAAGAATTTAACTTTGTCATTAAGAGTATAAAATATTTTATTGACTGTGTATAATCATATTTTTCATTTTACATTTGATTTGAAACCTTTTATAGAGTACTTAGTACTGGAACAAGTTTGCGTAGCTGCCTTGGACTGCTATCGTTTATCGTTAGCGGATTATTGTATTAAAATATTGATGTTAGAGTTTCCTGGTAGTTTGCGAGTTCATAAATATCATGCTATGCATTTGGAAGCATTGGAAATGTATGTATTTTATATTATGAAGTATACAAAAACATTTGCACAATAATTATTATACAGTAGTCTTACATTTGTATTTTTAGGTACGACGAAGCAATAGAGGTTTTAGATTCTATTATTAAAAAGGATGAAACTAATGCTGCTCCTAGAAAAAGACGTGTAGCTTTGTTAAAAGCTAAAGGTAAAATATCGGAAGCAATCAAGGAACTTACAGATTATTTAAAAAAGTAAATAACATTTATGAAACATTTGGAAATATATTTTGTTATTTATTTTTAATTATTATAAGTAATAAATAATTTTTTATATACAGGTTCATGAGCGACCAAGAAGCATGGCATGAATTATGCGATTTGTATTTACAAGAACACGAATATTCCAAAGCGGCATTTTGCATGGAAGAATTAATATTACATAATCCACACAGTCATTTAATTTATCAAAGATATGCAGAAATAAAATATTCTCAGGTTAATTATATTATTTAACATATAAAAAGAAAAGATTATAATTTTCTTTTTCTTATTATTTCTATGCTCTTAGGGAGGGTTCGAAAACATGGAATTGGCGAAAGCTTATTTCTGCCAAGCTGCGAAATTAAATCCGAATAACATCAGAGCACTTTATGGTTTATTGTTAGTAAGTATTTTTTCCTATAAATAAATTTTAATGATAATAATAATAATAATGTCAAAAGGTAAAGATCAGGCATATAGAAAAGTCAGCAAAGTTAGAGCAGGATTAGGTGCAGAGAAAATATTCAAAAAGTAAAATATTAAATTGTATTATTAATTTATTTTCTTTTTTTTTTTTTTCTAGGCAACAAACAGTATTGCTACATCACCAAAGTGCCCAACATCTAAGAAAAAAGATGCGATAAAGTTGAGCGAATGGGCTGCTAATCAAATCGAAAAACAATATTCAAGTAAAGTTTCCGAAGAAGAAGTTAAAAATATAGAAGGATTACTAGGACAATTGCAAGTTGAGGCTTAGATATTGAAAATGCATTTAGTCAATGTTCATATTTCAAATCAAGATTTAGGATTTTGTAAATTTGTTTGAATGTTGTAATATATGTAAATGCATTAATCCGTAAGAGAAAAATACTGTTTTTCTGAAAGAAATGCAGTCAAGAAAAACAAACTATAACGAATAATAACTGTGCACACAAACGCATTTGCAATGGAAATAACATTTATGATCATATTTTCAATGTTTACTAATTCTATATAGTGTTATCAATCATTTTGTAAATGATTTACACTATTGAAAGATCCATACGAATCATATAATTCATATTATTGTACTTCAATAAGTATACTCGGAAAAAATCAAACTTAAAATTTTGGAGACGTTCCAGACGTTTAAAAAAAAATGCATTTTACCTAGCATTTTGAGACTCGCACTTAAAAAATAATAATTATTATTTTATTATCTAATATTTACATTAATTTGTGCGATATTATTTAAATACAATTTCCGTTAAAAAAGAAAGTGCACAGAACTGAAAACACAACCACTTCTAGTATTCCTTAAACTTAGTCTCATCACAATCTCTATTTATTTTATGAGGAAGTTTAAATTATCCCCTTAAATTAAAACAATGCATGAGACTCGTGTTACGCTTTACAGTCCAAAAATGAGAAACACAAGTCCTACTCAGGTTGAATATAAGCACGAAATATATACCATTAATTTTAATATGCAGCTCAGTGCATTCAATCACAGTGCAAGGGGTTAAATTATGAAATATAAATAATATAATGTTGAAAGAGAGAGAGAGAAAGGGAGAAAGACATAAACACAAGATAAAAATATTAATTGAAAAATGTTAAGACGATAGACAAAGAAATCTGTTGGATTTAAATGTTGTCATATCCACGTTGCTTTAAGAATATTAATGATTGATAAATTAATAATATTTATATATAAATTTCTTTTTAATCGCAATGTTGCTCATTAATATTCTTGAAAAATTAAATTTGTGGTACACGAGAGTGTAGTTGTATTGTGGTTTTGGAGATTTTAAATAAATATATACTTTAATACGAGTAAAAAGATAATAAAATTAAATTAAACATTTAAATAATGCATAATACAGTACACAAATATATTTTGTGCTTTCTTTTTTTTTTTACTTTCGATGAAAAATTAAATTATATCGATAATAACAACAATGTAGATGCTATGAAGTATGTATCGGTTAAACAATTTTTGTTAGACAAAAAAAAATCATTGTCCAGTCATCTTTCCATACTTTCACCGTTACTTTTCTCCCAATCTTCTTTTCTCTTAGCCCTTTCTGTAGCTCTTTTCATTCTTCTTTCTTTACGTGTTTCATCCCTCAATGCAAAATACTTTTCTCGAAAGTCAGTTAAACACGTAGAGTTAATATCATCTGTTTCCTATAAAAGAAAATAATTGTAACGTTTTTGTAGATTCATTAAATTATTACAAAAGAATTTTATCTAATAGGGAAAATAATTTACCTGTGGTTCTTTGACTTTTTCATAAGTTAATAATCTACGACTCGTGTAATTACTAAGAACCTGTTCCGAATTGGCTATTAATCTTAAACAAGGATGTTTAGGTAATTGATTTGTGGAATAATGGTCTCTGCAAAAATAAAAAAGTATAGAATTCTTAACATGTAATTTAATACATTATATTATTTATCAGACAAAAAAAAAAATAAATAATTAACTTCAACGTTACAAAGAAAATTACCTAAATATTGGATACCAGCATACTAATCTGCCAGTAACTTTTAAATGTTTAGCTGCAAAGTTTAATAAATCTTTAAAAATTTGCGGTAAGCCATATTCGACTTTGGAAGGAATGTGAGTCGATACTTGATGTTCCTCAATAATAGGATTGGCTTTCATTGTTCCTATACGTTCAGTCGATTCTCTAATACCATAAGGTGCTACAATAAAAACTTCTTTAGATCTCTCTTTGAAAAAGTAATGAAATTAAATCATGAACTTTTGTAAAAAATAAAAGTCATACTTATATCATTCCTTAATTAGAAATGACTTACGATCAGTAATAATAGCATCTATAAACATATTTGATCTCCATAAAGGATAGGAAAAATCTGATACCACTACGTCAAGATAATGAGAACTTTTTCCATATTGTTCCATATTCGCTGCTACATTTTCATCCTTTTCTCTAGTCTAAAATTAATTATGTTTTCATTAATATAATTTATAAAGCGTATACAAAATATTTAACATCTTAGGTACCGTACATCACGAATATTTTTTACCATTGAAAGTCATACTATATAATGAAAAGTTAAAAGGAAACAGAAAATATGCTATGTAAATGATCTTACTTTTTGTGTTATACGAGTAGGCCTTGTACGTCCATGAAGCATCAAAAAATCAATATCTGTACCTAACGTATAACCACCAAAATGTGATGCAGCAACTAATAAAGAACCAGTACCAACAAAAGGATCAAGAACGATATCTCCAGGTCTAACTAGAGCTTGATTCGCCATAATCAATGATAATTGAGGATCCATCGATGTATTACCTATAAATTTTCTTCTTTTTAAAGAAAATTTTTGTATCAAATCTCTTTGCCCGTCTGCGATCTAAAAACCAAATTGTATTTAATTATAAATTCAAAAATAATTAGCTGCAACAATAATAATAATAATAATAATAATAATAATAATATTAATATTAAAAACTGTACCCATCTACCGAAGAATAATTCGTAAGGTTTATCCGGAATTTCGTTAGGATCTAAACCGTAGAATTCAATGTAATAGAAAGTTGTATCTGGATTCTTCAATTTAACAGGTCCTTGCAATGGTAAATAACTGAAAGACTTTTACTGATCATGATATTTTGAAATACATCAATATTACATGCTCAACATATTAATGAACTTTTCAAATTTATAATAGTAATTAAATGTTGATAATTATAAGGAATTAACTTACTTCAATTTTCTGAATCTTTTCGTATTGTGAAAAATGTTTACAAAATGTTTCGACTATTATTTTAAATGATTTCTCTTTATCAGTGTACATTTTAATTTGTTCTAATGGATAATTTTTTAAATTATTATGCAATTCATCGTAATCCTTCTCGTTTGCCCATAATTCCAAACAAAATCTAAGAGATACTGCTCTACTTGCAATTTTATGTACAGTTTTTTCTGATGATATATCGACTATCCAATACGGCTAAAAAATAAGATAATAATTATCATTTAATTAAAAAATAATTAACAAATATTATTATTATTATTATTATTATTATTAATATAAACTAAGGAGCAATAATTGTTAGATTCCCTTACTTGGTCTCTTTTTGATATTACAGGTAAATTTACACCAAACATATAAAAAATAGATTCCATTTCCTAAAAAAATAAACAATATCATAATAGATAATCATTCATTTAATAGTAATATTATATAAATTAATGTATTATACATCTATACAGGATATTTATTCCAGAACACTCTGTGTATATATAAATATGTATAAATATTATTTTTTTAAAATAATTTAAAAAAATAGAAAATATAACCTGTAAAAATCATAAAACATAGACATATGGTTACAAGTATGTATAAATATTTATACATATTTATAAAAAATATATATTATTTCTAAGGTTTAATTCGAATTTCATAATTTTGTATGTAATGTTATTTATTTTAAAAAACTTACAGGTAATCGAAAGTCAAGGTGTTCATGAGCGAACCAAAATAGATATCTTTTCATTGTTAATTAATTATATTAATATCTACAAATTCACTGAAAATTATATTCTCATTACTTTGTACATTATTTTTCTTTTTCTTTTTTTTTTCTTTTATTTTTTTTGTATACATTCCTTATGCATATTTTTTCTAATTATTATGCATTAGTATTGTATCAATATTACAATACCGCGCCATTTTTTAGAACAAATTTATATACATAACTATAAAAATGTAGAGTGTAAACTACATGGTAAAAAAGTATATAAAAAAGCCATCTGGTATTTAATTAAAAAACTAACTGACTAATTATGATTGGCCACTTTAAATAAAATAAAATATTACATAAATAAATAATTTCCAATAATATTTATCTATAAGATACTTAATATTACAAATGAAATGTTATATAGATTTAATTAGAATGAATTAAATATAATTTTAATCATTACACAGAAGTTGCTGATAAATTCTGTCAGATGGCGTTAATCGTTGACAGAAATAAAAATTAGTATGACGATCATAGAAGTATGTTGCATTGTTCGTGATTTAAGTGGATATTAAGTGGGACAATTAGGAGTTCTCTACGTTAAAATACATAGTGCATTCTGTTTAAATTGATTATTATTCTTTTTTTTTCCTACAAGTGCATATATACACATTATATATATATCTAATTAGAATCAAGTTATGTCCTCGTTTACGTTTGGTCAAAAATTGTTCACACCAGTGCCACCCGAAAAAGGTAGTTTTCCCCTCGATCATGAAGGCTTCTGCAAACAAGTAATGGTCAACTATCTTCGATGTTTATTAGAACATAATAATCAAAATACAATGTGCAGACATATTGCCAAAGATTATCTCGGTTGTCGAATGGATAAGGATCTAATGGCGCGTGAAGATTGGTCGAAATTAGGTTTCACTGATGAAGTTAAGGAAACGTAACAATTTAACAAATATATTTAACCGTAATTAATTATATTATAATAATAATAATAATAATAATAATAATAATAATAATAATAATAATAATAATTTCAAGATTAATCATCATAAACGTAATATCTCTGTCACTGTTTGTATTCCCAATGCTGACTTTGTCGATTAAAAATAAAGTTAGACAAATATTGAGAATACTACGATATATAAGATAAGATTAAATCTATTGTTATCGAACTACGATAAATTATTGCGTGAGTCTTTCTAAGACAATTAATGTTTATGCGTTCTAGAAATGGATAGAGTGCAAGTTCAGCCGCATATGATTTGTCATCACATTTAGAAAATTTAATATACACGTATATAAACTGCCAATAAAAAAATATAAACGTTTAGAAGAAAAATTGTTGGTAGTGCTTTAGAAGGTTTAATGAAGTTTAAGATAAAGTATATACCAAATTGTTACTAATCATACTTAGTCTACGTACACCGTTTACGGTATAACACATATTTTTAAAGAAAGAAATAAGAAGAAAATCAAGTATCAAAAGATAAGTTGAAAACTTATTGTGACAACATAGAAGGCCTATCTATTCTATATCGTAAGCTTGAACGTTTACGTTTATAGAATCTATATAAAAGGTAAAATAAATCTATTTGGAATTATATCGAGCATATTATTTGCATCGCTGCTTCTTAGAGAGTGTCGCTTTAAGCCAAAACTCGCTTTATATTGAAATTAATAAGAACAATGGCAAGCGCCTCAAGAAAAAGAGTATTAATCGGTTGCACTGGTAGCGTTGCGACTATTAAGCTGCCTCTATTAGTGGATAAATTGTTGAAAAATAATTTGGAAGTAAGAGTGGTCGTTACTGAAAAGGCGAAGCATTTTTTTAAAGAAGCAGAATTATCGCCAGGGATTCAAGTTCTATCCGATACCGTCGAATGGGCTGCGTGGCAAGACAGAGGAGATCCAGTTTTGCATATAGATCTTGTTAAATGGGCTGATCTTTTCTTAATTGCACCACTTGATGCTAATACTCTTGGGAAAATGGCAAGTGGAATTTGTGACAATATACTCACCTGCGTCGCTCGTGCTTGGGATCGATCTAAACCTTTATTATTCTGTCCTGCAATGAATACTAAAATGTGGGAACATCCAATTACCAGACAACAGGTACAAAACTTTATTATTTAATCTTTTTAGTTACTTTCCATAGTCTTGTATGTATCTCTGTATATAACACAGAGATTAAAGAAAGATTTTAAAATGAAAATATTTATAATATATTACTAAAACTTATTTCAGCTTTAATCGATTGAATATTTTCATTAATAGATCTCGTTACTTAAATCATGGGGTTACAAAGAATTACCATGTATTTCTAAAACTCTGATGTGTGGTGATACAGGAATGGGTGGAATGGCAGAAGTCGATACAATCGTTGGAGAATCTCTGGATTATCTTAATCCATGGAATTTCATGCCTCCACGTCGTTTTACAGTTAGGGAGTAATAGCAAGAATTATTAACTACAAGTATTAGATTTATTTATTGTAGTAGCATCGTCGCACTCGAATGTCGCTTTTTCTTTGGCTTTTCGTCTTATTACTTTCTTTTTTAGCTCACCGAATAAATCGATCGTTAGATTTCACTTGATATAGCACGTCTTTGGAAATCTTCAGTGAATAAACAATTGTATGGTTATATGCGTCGTGTTTATTTTTAAATGGAATATAGAAAAAGGTTGAATTTAAATACTCCCAAGGAGGTTTCTCTACTCAGGAATGTATCAACGGAATGAGCATGCATATAGGACATGTAAAAATAAAATATAATTGAAATTTTAAATGTTCCAAAAGAGAGAGTCAAAGGCACCATCTTATGATTGAATTCTAAAGTATTTTATTATTTATCGATGCTTAATGTATTTTAAAATTCGCAGTAACTTTACTTTAGAATTCACAAAGATCGTATTGCTTTTTCTCTCTTTCTTCAAATTGGAACACTTAGAGCGGTACTAAAAATTTATTGAATAATGGGCCACCGAAAGTAATGAACAAGGTTGTGATTTTAGTTCGCGTTTTTAAAATAAATATGCTGTGAAATGAAAAGGATAAATAAATTTGTTTTAAATGAAAAGAGTGTATAATAATATTTAACAAGGTGTTTAAAGCTTTTAAAATTAAAATCAAATTGAACTGGAATCATTGCCATTACGATACAACCTCAACTATTAAATAATATTATGTTAAATGAATAATAGATAGAAAGAAAATATATTACAATAGTAAGTATGTAAAAATATTAATCGGATGGATATGAACGGGAAAAAATGCATATAAATCTTACAAGTGTTTTAAATGAATGATAGAAGAATCAAAACCATGTAACTTTCTTTTTTTTTTTCTATAATATGTTAGCTACCAGTGTCACAGATTTGTGATTATGGTGTTCAATCAGACATAAGTTCTGAACAGGGATTGAAATCTTTTCTCCGCTAAGTTATAGCAAACACGTGCACTTCATTGTCACTTTGAAGCTTTACACGACAAAATGTAATCACATTGTTAGAAAAAGAAATTGTAATTCTTTTGGTTGAGGTTGTTGCAACTTTCTCCGTCGTTTGTGAAAATTGTAAAAAACTGTAAAAAAAAAAAAAATAAATAAGAAAGAAATAGAAAAAAGAAAACAAAAGAAAAGTTGTGTTGTAAACATATCGTTTAAAAAATGTTCCACAAAATGCAAATGTATATGTTTTTGCTAAATATATAAATATATAGATATATATATATATGGACAGGATACTTTTGAGGTTTTTCCAATCAAACTGTGTCAGCGTATTTTATGCATGAAAATAAGAAATTAATGTTTTATAAATATAGGTCCATTTACAGTTTTATTCAAGAGTTACAATTTAAATGATTCGCAATTATTTGGCAACACGATAATCATATTTAAATTTCTAGTTGATTATGTTTTATTATTATTTAATCAATTAAGCAAATTCCAATCTATATTGGGTTCTCTTTAAGTTTGTGAAATATCACTGATCAAAATGCCAATTTAACACGCTGACGCGGTTTGGTTGGAAATCTTTTAGACATTCTGTATATACATAGAATATATGTATATATTAACAAAAATATTTTCTAATTTAATTATGTTTACCATTTATTATTATAAAGCAAAAAGATCTTGTTCAATAAACAAATTACATAAAAATTACACGACAGATTTTAACAAAGAATTACACATCATATTTTTTTCCTTCGTTAAGGAATTACATTAAGAAGAGAGAAATATGTTCGATCTCTCTCTCTAGCATGTGTAAAAATAATCAATCGTTTGAAGCGCTAATTAATAATATAAAAATTGCATCTTTTACTACATCGTCTCATTAAATTCTAATTTTTTGTTTTCTTTTCTATTCGGAATTATTCGGAGAGGTGGAAAAAATGCTGCACATATAGGATATAAAAAATAAAATTCAATAAACACGAAGATAGAGGAAATCTATATCGTATTTAAAAAAAAAAAAAAGAAAAAAGAAAAAAAAGAAATATGTTACGTTAAATATATATCGTATAAAATTGTGAAATTACAATTCTTTTATTTATTAATGTTTTTTTTTTTTTTTTTTCACATTTTCTTCGTTTTTCCCTTTTGATTAATTAATTATACTTTTAATATATAATTTTTGATTTGTTATTAATAATAAAAAATTACTCTTTCCTCTAATAAAGCACTTATATGTATATTCGTAAAGATTTATAATCCCGAAAACATATTTTTTTTTTTGTTTATGCTTCCTCGACGCATTCTCAATATGCTTAATTAATAATATTTAATCGCACCTTTGCGTATTATAAATATCACAGTTTATAAAACTGACGACACGATCGTGTCTTATAAGATAAATTATTTATGTATTTAGTTAATAATTATATCTGTATATATATATATATACGTATAAGGTATATACGTTAAAAAAAAATAACATAATACGTTAAAAAATTAATTACGTTCGACTATAATTATACTAAAAATTCATATCGTCGCGTAGACATTAACGGAGAGCGAAACTAAATTTATATATATATATAAAAAAAACGTATTATATTTTATATATATATATATATGTATATTTAAAAAAAAAAATAATTATATATAAAAAATAGGCAGTATATGCGTAAACCAAAAAAGTGATCATAGAATGTTTACATTCAGGATGTAGCAAAATAAGCATCAAGATCAGATTGGTAACGCATCCTAAAATATTATTTTCTATTGGTCCAGTAGAATTATTTTATTATTATCAGTTCTGATCTTTTCGGTGCAGTACAAAAATCTGTTACAATAAATGGATTATATTATTGTTATTATTATTATTATGATTAATTTTAATGGCAAATTTGATTATTCGAGTGAACTGGTCAAAAAATGTTCCCGAACAGCAGATTCCTATAATATTGCAGTGTAAAAAAATATTTCTCATTTTCAGGACTTTTTAATTTACGCATTAATGTTCCACCTCTCTTTCGCTCTTATTTCTACGATTTAATGTCATGGCCATAATAATTAGGCGGCAGGCAGTGTATGTTGTAAATCTCATGCCGTATTTTATGTTCCTCTTTTTTTATTTTTTTATTTTTTTTTCATTATCATCATTATTATTATTTATTTATTTTATTTTTATACGGTAATATAATAATATATATTTATATATAAATTATAAATATTAAGTTAAATATGTGTATTACGTTATATATATATATATATATATATAAATTGTTGTTGCGTCGTGTTATTTACTTCTTTTTTCTGTTTTTTAATTTATATATATATATAAAGAGATGCAACGTATAAAAATATGGTATTACGTTTGAAGTAAGAATTATGCGTATGTAATAAGGCAATTATTATAGCAGATATACAGTTCTTGAACGATAGAACTGTCGTCCTTGGTAACTATTGATTTTTATTTTTTTTTATTTCTTTTTATCTCATTGATCGATCGATTCATTTATTTTAACAAAAAGAATTATACCTATATTACTTTTTTCAAACAATTAGGTTTGAATTAGGTAAAAAAAAAACAAAAAAAGAAAGGTGCCTGAACGCCGTTCCAGTGCGTTACACCATAAAGAAAAAGCACTGTAAATATATATATATATATATTTGGTATAATTATTCTTCGAAGATGTAACAATTTTTCGTATACGTTCTTCATCTTTCTGTTTCTTCTTCTTTCTTATTTGAAAGATATTTTGACTATTACACAAGTACAAAGACGAAAGCTATAAAAGTGAAAATAATAGGAGTGAGCCTTGAAACAATGGAATCCGCTGACGAACTGACGATCTTTGCTTTCCTAGGAATATTATTTTCAACATCGTTGGTTTCTAATTTACGTGGACATCCCATCCAAAAGGGTGCTGAGAGTTTTTGTTTCTCATGAGCGACTTTCATCCTGAGATCGTCAAACAACCAGAAACCTTTACCTTTGAAGAAGTAAGTCTTGCCTTGAATAAAAAAAAAAGAATAGAGATAATAATCATTTCGTTAAAAGAGAATCTTCTTCATTTTTCTTCACACAAAGGTTTATTATTATTATTATTTGTAATTACCATCTTTCCATTGAAACACAGCATCGATGTCGTTTCCAACGCCACCAAAATTACTACTTATATCTCTTGGGTAATCCAGTTCAACATAATTAACTGATTCGTCGAACCTGAAAAGATGAAATTTGAAGAAACATATAATATTATAATATATATATATTCAATTTTTAAATAGAGAAAATAACGTCACTTGTTTCCATTTTCAATTTATATAGGAAGGGTTGAAAATATAGGACACAAAAGTTTAATGTTGTAAGACTTTTTTTTTCTTTCTTATTCGAAACTTAGTTTACTAGAAGAAAATTGTGATTTTAAAATTCGAACAATTGAACAACTACGATTTCCTTCACCCCCATCTCCACCCCCTATCCTCCCCCATCCCGTAGAGATTCGTTATCACTTAGATGGATTCGCTATAAAAACTTTATTTCTCAATAAAACTTTCTACGAGTTTCTTTATAACAAGGAATAGGAAGAGATCCACGTTAAAAAGGATAAAGGAAGATAAAATTTGAATAAAACTCGAACGCGTATATTAAAAAGGAAGAAATGATCATTTTGAAAAAAAAAAAAAAACAAATATATACCTCCAATACATGGAACCGCTGAAGAAATAAGTTCTACTGTTGTGTCCCCAAATCATAGCACCGTCAATTTTTTCCAACGACGCTGGAAGACCAAGAACCGTCAATGGTTTTGGATATCCCGATTCGAGATTATTGGCAATGAAGACGTAATATTGTTTCCCTATGAAAAATACTATTTTCTTGTCTGGCCTCTCGTAAACTGCATCCACGTGGTCAATATCTTCTGGTAAATTGAACAACCTCGTTATTTCTGCTGGGTAGCCTTCGTATAATCCTTTGTCACCGATCCTCCATAGATACTATCAAACACAATCAATACATAAAATCATTTTATTTAATATTTCTCATAAAGGTTTCTCGCGTTAATCTTAAACCCTAATCTAAAAAGTGATCTCAAATTATTCACTTATTTACTATCATATATTTATTATTTTATTTGTAATTAATATTTGAAGTTTTTCCTCCTCCTTGTATTAAGTTCAAAACTTTTCAATCTTGCATTATAATTATTGGATTAAATCAAAAGTTTCTTTCGATATAATTAAATAATTGTTAAAACAATCATAGAGAAATATAATGATGATTACTTACACGTCCTTTGAATATGAACACTTCTCTACGAATAATGCTAATAGCATCATAAGTGGTGTCACATTTATTAGGAATATCATTCCTAGGTGATTGTGTCCACCTAAACCTAGGTCTTTGAGAAATCGTTGGTCTACCAGTAGTAGTCGTCATTGTCGGGATTGTGGTAGTGTGGTGTCTATGAGGTTTGTGGGGTCTCTGGGGTCGATAGTCCGGCCTCTCAGTTCTGTAATCTGGTTTCGACGGATAACGATCTGGTCTTCTAGGTCTACCATAGTCTGGATAGTGATTGGGTCTCGTTGGTCGCGTTCTCCAGGGTCTGTAAGTCGTTGCTGGTTTCATTGTTGTCGTAGTTGTCGTTGTCGTCGTAGTTGGGGGTGTTGGCCTTTCTGGTGGGAATGGTCCACCCGGTATATTGCCCCATAATTTTTCTTCAGGAGCACCTGTTATAACAAAATAAAAACACAAATTTATACGCGTTCTCATCAATTTTTCATTCAATATTTTTATAATTAAATATCGCACGATTGTTGACGGTTCATTGGCAAACAGATTTCTTATGGGGGGAGATTGAAAAAAATATATTCAAGATAATTTAAATAGGGGAAAAAAATAAAGCGTAGGAGAGGGAAAATTAAAGAGATTTAAATGAAATTAAATGGGGAATTATATCGGATAATCTTTCGTTGTAATTGCATCAAACGATTAGAAGGAAGAGATTAGATTTGTGCTAAACCAATCTGCACTCCTTCTCTCCCCTCCCGGTCTCTTTTCGATAACGTGTCTCTACCGCAGCTCGTTTTGTAGATTGTACTAATTAGCTGACCGCATAGTTATGAATATTAATTATCATTCCATCCCTTCCATTTTCTCTCTATCTCTCTTTTCACGTTACACTAATATATATATATATTATATTATATTATATTATGCCACATTATCGTATTGATTTATCAATATTAATAATGTCCAAAATCAAATTATTAAATATGAGATTTCTAATAGTAATTAGTATTAATTAAAAATGTAATAAAATAATGTGATAGGGATATCAGAGATTGCAATAAGCTAAATTATGCATCTTTGCAATTTCTTTGAAAAGTTTTGATTAATATTTTTTATACTAAAAGTTAATAGATTTTAATGAAACTTAGATTAAATTAAAGTGCACTCTTTTGTCTACGCGTAGAATACTGTATCGAGTAATAAATCAATTTGCAAAGGTTCAAAAAATTGCAAAGATGCACAATTTATCCGCATTGCAATCTCTGATATTTATATACATATGTATAAGAGGTATAAATTGTCGCTTTAGCAAGGAACGCGTTCGTAGTTTCTCTTGCCATTTCCGCCAGAACATAAACTATTCTCTATCTTTCCATCCCCCCTATCCCTTCTACACCCCTACCAATTCCCATCTCCTTTGAACTAAAATCTTCTCAGGAATTCTCTTTCTTAAAGCAACATCGTCTTCATATTAATATTATATATATATTTATATATATATGTTAGTCACAGTTTTTAAATGTTTAATTCCGTCAAATCGTTATCGCATAGAATAAACTAACGTATTTTTCAAAGAAAATTGTATTATTTAAAAATATACGTGTTGATTTTTTTTCTAGTGTTATGCAATATAAAATATTAATTCAATCTCAAAACAATCGTTTGCAAATCATTAGAAAAATATAGTTATTGTTGTAATTATTAATTGACAATAGAAATAATTATTGTTTTTTCATTCGAGCGTGTTTTTTCTCTTGTTATCTAATTTTAGAATAATGTTATACGTTTAAGATAAAAAAAAAAAAAAGAAAGAAAAAGAAAAAGAAAGATGAGAATTTAGTCGTAGATATAGGAAGAAGAAGTAATCTTGGTAGCTCGTAGTTATCCTAGAAAAGTTAGTAGTAGATTCTCTCCTTGGAATACGAAATTAGCCCTTGGGTTGCTCATTAAGGGATGCTTGGATGGTGCCTGCAATTACGAAGGATTTCCACACGGATCTCGACCACCCATCTCGAAACCCCACGAGGGGTTTTGCATCCCTTCAACACCCTAAACCACCCTAAACCATTCCAGCAGCACCACCACCACCAGCACTGGGATTTTCTGGTCCATCTGTTCCTCTCTCTCTCTCTCTCTCTCATTTTCTCACACTTTCTCTCATTTACTCTTTCGCATACACTATCAGCTAAAAGTTTGAAATCATTTGACGATTTTCGTAAAACACCATATATATTATAATATATCAAACGTGATATATTTATTTTATAAGTCAGTTCAATAATTATGATTGAATTTTTATTCTTATTATTTATGTGATACAAAATTTGAATACCATATATATTATAATACCATATATATTAAACGCCATATTTATTTTATAGGCCTGTTCAATAATAATGATTGAATTTTCATTCTTATTATTTATGTGATACAAAATTTGAATAAGTGTTAATGATCTTTCTTTTATTTTTGTTTTTTAAAAAGGTTCATCATTCATAGTTTATTTCAATTTGTTTAACGATTAATAAACTTTTGGCTGATAGTGTATGTATGTATATATGTATGTATAGATGAATATAGAAATGTAGACACAAGCACGTAGATATACTAATGGTACATACATATATATATAACTAGGTATTTGGTTCAGTTGGAACTCTCCTATCACGTATTTCCTCGACTAAAGGTAAAACGGTGAGATCGATATGATGATATGCATAAATACACCCTAAAGTATAATTGATATTTCCTATTAATACTATAATTTCTGATTTTTGTTTTTTTTTATTTCCTTCTGAAAATTACTGTATATACTCCTCCTTTAAAAAATATCATTTTATTTATTCGACAAACGATGATATTTACGTACGCAAAACAACGTTAAAAAAAAGTAACTAAATAAAGCTTGAATTTCTTCTGGTAAGTTTTAAAGGTAAATTCAAAACCGTTGGTGAAAATAAAACCTAAGTAATAATAGTAATAGTAGTAGTAGTAGTCGTAGAAACTGCAACGTCGTTAAAGTTAACGTAGGAAAAATATGTTTTATGCATGCCGCAAGAAACGAAGAAGTTTATGTATTACTCTCGTTCGTTGAGTACCTAACGATCGTATTTTTTTTTCTTTTGCTTTATTTTTTTCTTCTTTTTCCCTAACCCCCCATATCACCCTCCCTTTAGCAACCTCGTACTTACTTTTGATACGTTTTTTTTTTTATACTTTTACGGTACTCCCCCACCCTACTATACACATTTTTATTACAATAAAAATATATCTCACTTTTATTTCTCTATACTTTTTATCTATCTAATATTTTTTTTTCTACGTATTATCATACTTTCAATTATAATAATAAAAGTAATGGGATTTGAGATTTTTCGATGAATGCGATAAGATACGAATCGAATGAAATAAAGATAACGTGAAATAAAGAAAAGTACAAAAAGAGAGTTGGTGCAAAACAGAGAGAGAGAGAGAGAGAGAGAGAGAGAGAAATAGAAAAGAGAATAAAACAAAAGTAACAAAAAAAAAGAGAAAAATAGAAAAGAGGAAGCAGCACGGGAAATGGATAGCTAGCTAGCAGCAGGCGGGGCGGATTGACAAACCGAATGAAAATGAAACTAAAAGAGAGAAGAAAAACAGGAGGAATAAAATGAGTTAGTAAAAGAAGTAAAGGGATTGTGATCCGAATCGACAGACTGAGAAAGAAAATCAAAGAAAATGAAAGAAAATGAATCAAAGAGAAAAATATAAAAAGAGAGATAGAAAATAGGAGAATAGAGAGAAACGTGTTTGGAAAGAAAATGATAGTCGGAAAGAATGAAACACGCGCATTGACAAACAGACAGACAGATAGAACAAATAAATGATTCAAATAATGATATAAACCTAATTGTTAATCCATAAAGAAACACAATACAATTGAATCAGAGATAGAATATTTCTCTTTTCAATGTATAAATGGATACTTAAAAAAAAAAAGAAAGATTGGTGAAGCAAGATGAGGGTTTAAGTATTATAAGGGTTAGGAATAGGAAGTTGAGGTGGGGAAGGGGAATATAAGAAGACGCCAGGTGCCATCATCATCATCATCATTTTGGAAGGGTGAAATCTGCACACCTTTTGTCTGTGGTTCTTTAAAACGAGATTTTAGAATGCGTTGGGGGGTTGAGAAGGAGGAAAAAGAAACAAAAAAGAAATGATGAGTGGGTTAGGGTGGGGTGGGGGTGCTAAGGACTACGTTCGTCACTTCTTCTTCTTCTTTTCCATTTCTTTTTTTTTTGTTTAATTTTTTTTCTCTTCTCGCGGGAAAGAAAGGAAGCACTTTCGTTCGTGACAATAAATAATGCATCAAATTATTTTAAAACGACCGCCTCTGGCACTTCCCGAATACTATCATCTCTCTCTTTCTCTTTTTATACTCCATTTTTTTGTTTTTTATCTTCTCCCCCTCTCTTACTTTCTTTCTTTCTCTGTCTTTTTGTCCCTTTTTAAGGGAACAATAGGGACGCGGATTTAATTCGATATGATTATTCGGGGTAAAACGAACGGTAAGAGAATGAGTGCAGTAATTGTACCGAAAAAAAACTACGAAAATTGTCAATTCATTCGTTCATTTATTCATTCATTCATTCATTCATTCATTCATTCATTTGCTCAATCATTTTATTCACATTCATTATTTATTTAATTATTTTTAATTATTTATTAATGAACGTATGATTGAATTACTCGTTCATTTATTTATTTATTTATTCAATTGATAAGGAACTTTCTTTATTATCTTAACACAAAAAAATAATTATAACTAATTGGAAAAAAAAAATCAATAATTCTATAGGATTTAAATAATAAGTTGCAAGAGTTACGAGGAAGATAGATAACCAATAGGAAGGTAAAGAAAAATTTCTTTTCCATCGTTTCCTAATAGGAAAAAAGGAAAAAATAGAGAAAGAAAAAGAAAAAAAAAAAATGAAAGAGAGAGAGAGAGAGAGAGAAATATTCTTAACACCGCCCCATTGCTCCAGTTTTCTCTCGTTTATCCAATTATTTCCCTTCAACCCTTAGAATAATTAGCTGCAGGTTAACAAATAAGAAAAATCTACGGTAAAGTAAAAAAAAAGGAAAGAAAATAAATGTCGGAAATACAACCGAAGAAGAAGAAGAAGAGGAAGAAAATAACGAGTAGAAAAGGGATGAAATAATTATTTCAATAGGAATTCGTCGAACGCTTTTTATCCCTTAAACTAAGTAAGTGGAATTTAGGATCGTGATAGTAACGGCAGTTTGGGGGTTGTATTGAAAGTGGGGGTGGGGTTCGGGTTCGGGGAAGGTAAAAGGGAATGGGAATATCTGGTAAAAGGAGAGAAAAGATTCCAAGGGATAAAGGGAAACAACAACAAGCGGTCTACCCTTTTGCCAGTGTTCTTCTTCTTCTTCTTCTTTTCATCTTCATCGATAAAAGACTGAAATGAAATCTTTCATAGAAGAAGATAAAAAAAAAGAAAAAAAAAAAGACAGAGAAGAATAATAGCGAATACTCCGCTCCTTCTTTTTTTTTTTTTTTCTTTCTTTCTTTTTTAAAAACATCCCCCACCCCCACCTTCTCTTCTCCGACTGTACAAAACCAGCCCCAACCACCGAAGGTAAAACCCTGTTATCTTTTTCTTTCTATCCCCCCCTCTCCCTCCTTTTTTTGTTGTTGTAGAGATCTTCATCATCCTTTTTACTTTTCCGCAGAACGGAAAAGGGAAACAACAAGGACGAATTCCAGTGTTCCTGTTTTTATACTACCCTTTTTTCGTCTATACCCTATATATTTATTTCGGTCCTTTAAAGCTGAAAGCTTGTTTCCTCTAGAAATACATATACATATATATATATATATATATATGTGAGCTATAAAGTTGAATGAATTTCCTGAAATTTTAGAAGGGTCCCACCCTGCGCACGTGTAACAACACGTTCTCCTTTAATTTGTTTCAATTTGAATGGTAAAATTCCTATGAATGATATCACATAAAAAAAAAAGAAATAAAGTAATTTAAATAAAGAATAAAAGAAAACCACATAATACACACAGACACAGATAAGTTTTTCAAATTCTTATGAAAAATATGGAAATTTAATTAGAAAATGATGGAAACATCATCGAGAGAAATAATACAAAGAATAAATACTACTACCACACCATTAGAACCACCCCAACTTCCTACTACTACTATTATTACTATTACTAGTTCGATGGACTCCTCGTTCGAGTAGCACCATTCAAGTACATCCCCCTTACTTTTCATGGAAAACAAATGTGACCATCGCCCTTTCAGTACTCGGCCGCGAAACCAACGGCGAGTTAACGTGTACCGAGTCGTGTTCGTAACGCAAACACGATACACATACACAAACACATACACACACATGGTAATGGTATAGGAAAAGGAATGGGAACGAAGATGGAAAGAGAAAGAGAAAGAGAAAGAGAGAGAGAGAGAGAGTTGGAATGCATTTGCGATCCCTCTGGAAAACCGACAAAGCTGGCATAGTAAATCACTCTTGGTCTGCCTGCCCAACTATCCCCCTCCCCCTCCCCCTCCCCCTACACCATCACCTCCACCTCATCACCACCCTCTTTACGACCGACCCATATCCCGCAGGGAAACAAAAAACCTTCTCCTGGTCATTCTTTATATTTTATTCACGTTTCATTTCATCCTCGTCTGACTCTACTATGTGTATACCCCTTATTTTCTAAACGTATGCCTTAAAGAATTAAATTGATCAGATTATTCCTAATGATTTTATTATAATCATGATTTTTGTTGTTATGTGTGTTAATACTATTGTTGAATTGATTTTTATTGAGACCACCCAAGGGGGTGAAAGGAGGAATATGGAAAAGTATAGAATTTGTTTGTATAAATGTTTTATTGGTGAGAATTATAGTAATTTTAAATATGATTTCTGTTTTCTAAAATAATGTGGGATTTTATTATTCTCTAGGTCTTTTTCTTTTTCTTTTTCTTTTCTTTTTAAAGTTTGTTTGATTATGTAAGATAACGTGTGATGATTTATATGTTAGAATATTTGATATATATATATATATGCATATAGGTAAAGTTATTCTTATATTATCTTTTCAAATATTCACGTAGAAGTTATATATCTTCTGTTTCAAGTGTTGTTTAAGATGGTTTTAGACGGTTCTTGAGTTATTCAGAAATAGTATTCAGAAAGTTTTATTATACGTGTGTACGTATCTTATTATCGAATAAATAAGTTCATTCTTGTGTGATATACATCATAAATCATCATTAAATATAATAAAGATAGTTATTGTTGTTGTATATAGTAATTTCAATAATTATTCGCATAAATTAAATTATCCTCGGAAAATTTATGCCAATGGGGAATATATACTTTTCATTTATAATTTTAATTATTTTTCAAAACCTATGATGGGATAGAATTTTCCTAAAAAATTCCTAATGCAATAAATATCAGTTTTGATCTAAAAAATAATATATTTTTTATACACACACACACACACACACACGTTTCATTTATATATTTCTACGAATAAAAAATTAACGACGCGACACAAGTTGTAGAATTTTTGTGTTTTTTTTTTTTTGTTCTTTTACTCTCTCTCTCTCTCTCTCTCTCTATGCGATTCTCTTGAATAATAAATAAATAAATAAAAAGAAGTGTTGAATGAGTAATAGGGGTTTTTAAGATCAACGAAGGTAGCTTTTCAATCTCATCCTGTATTTAAAAATACATTGGTGTCAGTTCGGCGGTGTTTTTAGAAAAGAGAAACCTATTCATTATTTGTAGGAGAAATACTTTGCTCAGTCTGACTATACGACGACTTTACTACTTGTCTGCTCAAACGTTTTACCCTACTTCACTGGCGCCAACTCAAACTGCCTCACTACTACTGATACCACTTACTATCACTTTCTTTACATCGTTGTAGTAGATATACACACACACACATATACATAATACTAGTCAAACGTTTCTCTCAGTATCGTTTTCCTAAATTCAACACTATTTCTTTCTATTTATCTTCCTATCTCTATCTGTCTATTTATTTTATCTATTGGATTGTAACAACCTATAGGGGATGTTTTATAAAATAACAATAAGTGTTATTATCGAATTAAATAATTGTGATTATATTCACAATGATATAATATTATTAAATATACATTTAAATAAATTCAAATCGAAAAAGGTTTTAATATTTTTAATTAAAATTTGATCTAACAAATCGTGCCAATTAGATTAATAAAAAATATAACATCTTGTTATTTTTTCCTATGATAAAGAAGAATAAAATAACGTTCTCTATTGGGATCATTATAATAAATAAATCCTTTAAAAAACCATCGTGTTAAAGCTTCACGCTCTTTCGAGTTGAACCACAAAGGAACCATAAATTTCCAATGGTTGTTATTATTCGCGATTGTAACTATATTGATCAAAAGAAAGGGAAGAGAAGTATCTCTCGTTATAATATGATAAAAGATATAATAATAAATAATACAAAAATAAAATATAATAAATAATAATAATAAAATAAATATACTTGAATATATATTTTTGCATTGTTATTTGGAATAAAAAAAGAAAGAAAGAGCAGATACAAAAAATAAAAAGAGACGAATATAAACAGTGTCCCAAAATTAAAAAGAAAAAAACAAAAGTATGAACATTTTCACAAAGAAATAATAAAATAAATGTGTGTGAAAAATGTGAAATAATAATGACTTACCATACATCTGTTGTATTCCATGTCTATCATCTTCTGGTAGCTCGTAATTAGGACTCAATCCTTGATACCAAGGATACATTAGAGCTCCTTGAACAGAACTATGTGCTAACCCAAGGGAATGACCAAATTCGTGAGCTGCTACGGCGAATAGGCTAGTTCCTATGGAAATTATTAAATACTATAATAAATATTATTTATAACACAGATATATAATATATTTATTCAAACATTATATATACGTTCAATAAATAATCAAATTCATTCTCAGTGATTTTGTAACATTGTTAATGCGATATTATTATTATTATACGTAAAATTTAAATTAAATTTTACAATATAATAGAAAGAAATAAGGATTTGCTCGAGTTAAGTGGAATGTTGTATTATAAAAAAAGATTCTTCTTATATAATATCACTTTTTACTTCTACTTTTATTTCTTTTTCGAGTTGTTATTCTTGTTTTCATTCCTTTAGCATCGTTTTTTCGAAATTTCGATCAAGAAAACGTACACCATAGTTGGTTGAATAGCAATAAATTGCAGAACCTTGGCAGCTGATGGTAACGGCCTTGCAATTTCAAAATATCCTACCTAGGAAAGTTTCTAACGAGGAAACTTGCTTTAAGTATAGTCCCTCGAGTTACCCAACGTTCTCTCTCTCTCTCTCTTTCTCTCTCTCTCTTTCTCTTTCCTTCCTTCTTCTTCAAGTTCCCTTTTCCCTATCCCTACGAGTCCTTTCATCTTTCCACTCTTCTTCTTCTATTTCTAGGAAGTTGATCTATCCAAAGATAGTCAAGGAACAAGTCAAGGAAACCGATAACAACTAGGAATAGTTATGTGTGTACTCAGGGACGTATCAAAAGTCGAGAAACAGTTTCATCTTCAATTTTAAATGATGACTATCTTCGACAATGAAATTTGATTACTTTCAGATAAAATTTCATTCGTCTGGAGATTAATTAAAATATTTTTTATACATATAGGTAACACTCCCTTCTTATAAGATATAATATTAATTAAGTAATTCCTATATAAAATATATATAATTAAAGAAAATATAAATTCGTAGAAAATACTGTGTGTGTGTGTGTTATATGATACTCACACATGAGTTTATTTTACTTTAAGATTATTTATTATAATTTTGAAATGTGTTAAAGAAATAATTATGTTATCAAGTTAACAAATTTTTTCGCAATTTTCTTGTCAAGTTAGTGCAAAATCTAAAGATAAATTAATACAACGAGATTCTTTGGCTTGTTTTGATTTACAAGTTAAGAATTTTAACAAACGCGTTTGTTAGAACAATACATTTTTCTTTTATTTCTTAATTTACACGCACGCACGCACGCACAGACAGTTTTTTATAATTTATTATTTAAATGTAATTTTTGTAATATATATATCTTTTTCAAATGGTGCAAGTATAAAAGAAATAAGAAAGAAAGGATAGAAAGGGGAGGAAGAAGGATGTCCGATTTTAATAAAAAAAAAAAAAAAATCCTTCTCGAATTAAAGTGCAGTTGAAAGTAGGCCAACGCTCAGTATAATTTTTTTTTGTTCTTTCTTTCTTTCTTTATCTTTTTATTTGCACACATGCTAGATACAGTTTTTATATTATATCTCGTGCCTGGTAGAAACTAATGTGGATAAAGAATATTTAAATACATTTTTTATTTTTAATAATGAAACATATTCACGCGTTTCAAAGTTGGAGGAGACAAAAAAAATATATTAAATATTATAAAATACTATTTTTTTAATATTTAATTTATATATATATTTTTGCGTATGTGTTGAATATGTATTTAATAATAAAACAAACGATATTTTTTTTGGAAAAAGTAATATATCGGATTGATAAAAGATATTGTTCTAACAATTATCTATTATAGTGATTTTTTTCAAAATAGAAAGTTATTGAAATATACGAAATCGAGTATGAACTAGCTCGTTCATGTTGATTCCTTTCGATTGATCGAACGGATACCAACCACCCATTGAATATTTATCGAAGTCAACCTCAGTATTTACAAAGGTGCCAGAATCGAAACCATTTGGTAAATACTGAAAATCAATATATACATATACATAGATATATTTTTCCCCCCCATACACAATTTCACACATATTCTCTCCCTCCCTCTCCGATCATCTCACTTTCACACACTTATACATATATTGTGATATTGATATTGATATTGCTAACACTTTTTCACAAATACTTACTGTTACCCATATAAAATACAAAAAAAAAAAAGAAACAGAGAGATACTATTCAAATTTATTTCTTTGTTTTAAAATGCGTATTTTTTTCTATACAGTCAATAATTTTTATTAATTTTATTTTGATTACAAACATAATATAATTATTATTTTTATTCTCTATCGTTTATTATTACATTTATATTTCCTCTCTCTACACCCTACCCACCATAAACTTCTCTATTTGTTATTTTCTATCTCATTTTTATTGGTACCCGTTCAATATATATTATTATTATTTTTTTGTTCTAATTTCTATTTCTATTTCTTTATATATTTTTTCTTATATACACACAGACTACTTTTATCTTTATCCACGTTCACTTTAATATACACTCGTATATTCTATAAATATGAAACACGTATTATACACACATTAACACGTGAATAAATACACATGGGATTTCTATATTTCTTATCACGTAATATTACTATCTCTCTCTTTCTCTCTTTATCACTTTTTTATTATTTCTTATATACTTTATTTTTCAAGTGAAACTTTTCTCTCGAGTAGGATACCGACAAATTTTCGATCGAAATGAAAAGTGAAAAGTTTACAGGAGTGCCTCCTTATTTGAGTGCTAGTGATGGTGGTTGCATGGGGGAAACGAAACGGAGGAAAAATAAAAATAAAAAAAATAAAAAATAAAAAGGAAGAATCTCCCAAACGTATTATAAATAAAAATATGCAATTGATTTTATCTATCAATCATACTTTTCCAATCTTTCTTTCACGTTTATAATATATTAAATCATCTTATCAAACTTATCTACCACACCCAACGTGTTCGGATAATTTTTACTCGAATAAAAATATTATATTTTTTTTAATTAGAGAGAATCATTCAAAGAAATGATTTTTTGGTAAACAAAAATAAAAAATACGTACAACATTTTTGATAGGAAAACGTGATTCTAAATTTGTACAAATAGTATTTTATCGATATCTATACACACGTGTTATATATATACACGTGTTTACAAATATTTTTATATACACGTGTTTACAAATATGTTTAATTAATATTACACTTACGAGTAGTTAAAGGATTAATCGTGAAATATTTCGGTAACATTTTTATTTTTTATTATTTTTTGTTCGTCTACTATTCTTTTTTTTTTCTATTTTAGCGATCTCTCTCTTTCTCTCTCTCTCTCTCAGCTATTTTGCTATCTCATCGATAGCTTTGCCGATAACTCGAGACACCCTTCCTTCGACTTTTCCATACACGAGAAGCTCCAGGCAAATATGAATTTTTCATAAACGACTAAATGGAACACGCTACTAGTACTACGCACACACTAGGGGTAGGGGGTGTATGACAGCAGGGGAAGAGGAAAGGGGGAACCTCACCCCAACCCCTTACCCCCTTCTACTCCTGTCATAAAATATTCAAAATGTCGAGGAAGCTGATTTTCACCTATCTCGCAAATTCGCTTCGAGTAGTGCTTTTCTCTCTACCTGTACACCCCCCAACTCCCACCCCCACCCCATTTCCATTTCATCCTCATTTCATCCCCATTTTCTACCATCGTCATCATCTTTTAATATTTTTGTTATAGATCGTAGGACAATGTTTATTGTTCTTCGAACAAATAAACGATTAAGCATTTATTTTTCTGTTTTCTTTTGTTTAATTAATATTCCAATATTGTCATAATAGAATCGCATAATTTTATTGATATTGAGATACTTCAAATAATACATTTCTTGTTTCAAATGATACTCAGCCAAGTAACTCGTCTGTATTTAAAATTCATCCCTCGGTGTAATAATTTTTCTCAAGAAACGTTCATTTCAATTAAAAACTAGTCTATTGTTTTATCGACAAAAAAAAATAGAAGAATAAAAAGAAAAAAGAAAATCCTGACAATGAAAGAAGAAGGTAAATAACGTTTAAAAGGCTAATGTCTCGATATTTCCATGCTTTTAGAATGAAACAATATAATATACAAATATATATATATACATAAATAAGTATGTAAGTATGTAGAATATTTTATACATATTGGGTTGGGGAAAAAGTATCTTCGTGTATAATATAAATAATAAAATTTAAAAAAAAAAAAAAGAAATTTAAAAAAACTTACATCACATTACAAATACATATTCATATTTTCGAATTTTAAATTCTTACAGTAATATACAAATTTTAATCTGCAAAACATTAATCATCATCATCTATAACTTTCAATTAATAAATTAATCAAATGCAGTAGAGAGAGAGAGAGAGAAATAATAAAATAAATAATAAACAATATAATTAATATAACAATAATCAACAAGTGTTTAAAAACATTCTCACTGATATAAAACAAAACAAAACAAAATAAAAAAAATTAATAATAATAATCCAACAATGTGACGTTTCATATTGAACAAGTACAAATACGACAATACTTTTTCCCCAACCCAATATATTAAAGTGGTAAGTAGCATTAAACATCCCCTTCTCATTTTACCCTCCTACCCCTATCCAACTCTCTCTTTAAAGTTTCTACTTATTCCCTCTATTCTTGTTTTTTTCCCAATAAAGAGAGAGAGAGAGAGAGAGAGAGAGAGAGAGAGAGAGAAAATGATAATGAAAAAGAGCGAGAAAAATAAGAAGAAATAAATAAAGAGGAGGAAGAGGAGGAGGAGGAGGAGGAAAAATAGAACACAAAAGTACAAAAATAAAGGAAAAAAAAAATAGTAAAAAAAAAAAAAAATAAAAGCAAAGTTTCGTTCCTCCCTTCTCGTAAATGTATTCGTATATTAAACGAGAGGAACGTTGGAATTCGTAGTTGGGGGACGTTGTGGTGTTCTTGCAACCGTTATAACTATGCTAATGGCGGCTGTTATGTCGAGAATCAAACCTTCCATCTCTCTCTCTTTCTCTCCTGCACACTAGGAAGATAGCATTGATGCATAAATGAAAGAGGGAGAGAGAGAGAGAGAGATAGAGAGAGAGAGATAAGCCGACGTTATTAACGAGACCAATTTGGAATCACTGTTCGACGGTAGAATGTAAAGACCCGGAGAATTGTCGAAAGGGATTCCATTCTAATACCTAGAACAGCCCTTACTTGCACGATCTTCTATCTGTCTATCTTTCTATCTTTCTTTTTTTTTTTCTTCTTTTTTTTTTCTTTCAGTTTAATCGAGAAGAATGGATTTGAAATCTTTCCGGAACGTATTCGACAAATCTTTCTATTTTTCTTTTTCTTTTTTTTCCATATTTTCTGTTTCGTTTATAATTCGTTGTTATTGTCTGTTTGTTTGTTTTGTTAATTAAATTCAAGATTAAAATTGTATTTTTTTTTTTTCTAAGCTATGATAATAATATCCGATGGTTTTAATTTGAAAATTGTTTATTTCATTATCATTATCATTTGATTTTTATTTGTATCAGTCGATGTATTTATTATTAATGTGTTTCTATTATTGATTGAATATTTAATCAATTAATTATTAACTGCATTTTTTAATATATTAAAACATTTATTTAATATTAATTTTTTTGTGGAATAATCAATGAATATAATATAATATCGTAGAATTTTTAATATCTTCTAAATCGTGTATATATCACATATGATTCTATATTTAGTTTCTTTTTTTTTATTTTTTTTTTTTTTTCTTATATTCTATCGAAAGAAACATTGATAATATCGAAGAAAATCCGCAAATATACACGAATCCTCGACTTATTCCATATTCTTTTTGAAACAGCCATTTTTTAACGTGACCCACTTGGCAACAAATCGAAAAGAAATACTATTACCATTTCTAATCGTAATTCTTACAATTCTTTTTGGTATAATCATTCAACAATAATTAAAATTTTTAAATGGAACACGATTATATATATATACATGTGTCATATAATTTATTATTATTTTTAATTGCTTGTTTTTTTAATTATTTACCTTCCTCATTGCTGTTGTCCTGAAGATACCAAATTTCTTCTTCATCGAAATGTGCATCCCCGCCACGATCTTTGCCAGGGAAAAATGCATGGGCCAAAATTTGTCCTCTTCCATCGAATGGATATCCATCACCATGAGAACCACTGTAAAAAAATAAAATATAATACAGAACGATCGACCCCTCCTTAAAGTAAAGAAAAAACAAATCATCAATTATGATATTAATCCACGAATTAATAAAAAAGAAAAAAAAATTATTTGAAGGGTATTAAAGATACCATAATTTTGTCTCGACTAATATATTATTTCATTCGAGTGATATAACTTTGATGGAAAATAAAAAAGGCAGATAAAAATACACCATAACAAAGTATACGATCAAATTCCTTATCCATGAATAGTGTATGTATATGTGTATGTGTGACGTTCTCCTTTGATAACATGTAATAACGTTTATTGCCTCTTTATCGATCTATATATCCACATATACTTATACAAACGCAAACATACGTGTACAGAACATACACACACACACACACATATCTTTACTCAAGGTATATAAACGTATATTGATGTGTTTGCACGTGCATATATCCTACACATAATATAATCTATAAATGCATATACATACATATGTGTATATAGAAATATTTATATATATATATATAATATACGCATATTATAGAAATATCTGTACATATATTATATAAACATAGAAGTAATATTTATACATAGTAATTTATAACACATTAGTGGTTTGTGTTAGTGCATTCACGCGAACAAAACAAATCCCTTGCAGGCAAGTTCATGTGAATACCAAGCAAGGCTTATTAACGTTAAACGATAATTACACACCACAGGGTGTTTTCCATGATGTTTTACAACCATCCCCCTTTCCAAACGTTAAATTCCTTTCAACCAAACTACCTTTATTTTACTCATTCAGTTATTTTACTATTGTTATTTAATAGAATAGCAAAGAAAAAGAAAATTAAAATTAATACAAGATAAAATTGCAGTACATTGAAAGATTTATTTATACTTCATTGTAATTAATCTTATACTTTTGTTTTAGAATATTGCTTGAATCGTTTTGATTGGTGGGAAGAAGTTTGATGTACATGTATATTTTTGATGACTCGGTTTTTGTTTAATTTTTTTTTTTTTTATGAAAATAAACGAAGGAGGGATAACGATGATGCGAAATTTGTAATTTGTTTTTCAAATGTTGCAAGAATACTTTGTTTCATTGGCACGACCCCATCACCACCCAACGCAAATGAATACCACAGTGTATCCCATATCACATTTGTCTAATTATTATATAATAATAATTATATATATATATATATAAATAAATAAAATCTTTCTCTCTCACCGATGGAAGTAAACCAATATGTCAGCACGGTCACTGTTAACTTCCTGAAAAGTAAGTTTCGAATTTCTGGCCCAAAGGTCGAGTGCTTTGCTCAATTCCAGTCGAACTCCACCAGTTTCCAGGCCGCTTGGTTGATTGGTTCTCAAACTGTAACAGAAGATAAACAATAGATAAACGTTTAATCCAATCTTAATTTCAAACAATTTTAAAGTCCGACGACAGAATATGAAGAATAATTGTTGAACACTTGTTCTGTGTCATACAACAAATCATTCGATTCGTTAAGTATATACAATTTTTAATACATATCATATATTTCATTTTTATTATTTTTTATCAAAATATTATATACTTATATTTATTATATTCCTCTTGTTCTCGATTAAACAAATCATTAAGTATGAAATTTGTAATGCACATCATATTGTCAATTTTTTACACAATTATTTACATATTTATATTTGTATTTATAAAATTATATACAAAAATTTCAATTACTTGACACTCTATCTAATATATAATATATATATATTATATTTGTTTTTGAATATATTAATTTTCTAGATTTAATTTAAAGGTCATTGATTGCAATAAATCAACGTCAAATCCTAAATCATCTTATGGTATCCTTAAAGTTATAAGATATAGTATTTCCATCCTAGAGAGAGAGGGTTATGAAAGAGAAGGATAAAATAGATAGGTGAAGAAGGAGGAAAAGGATCAAGGGAATAGATAGATGAGGGATGTGGGAAGTAATCCAAAGAACGTTCATAACAACCCTCGAAGGAAGGTTACGATTAAAGAGATTTAAGGGAGAAACTTTCAAAACTTTCTTCCAAAAGAGGAAAATTGTTATTTGCTCGTTAGTCATCGATCCACCCCCCTTTTTTTTTTCCTTTTACTCGTAATTTTCAATCATTTGCATAATGTTTCCTTTTTCTTCTTCTTTTATTTTTTATCAGACAAAATATATTTCATAAACAATTAAATGAACTATAGATTGATTACTATGTTTGTTCTTATATAACAGAAAATCAAAATTAAGATTAAATGTATAGAGGAAACAATATTAAAATAAAATTAATTTTGTGGATTAGTATTACTTGTTCATTAAAAATTTATAATTGGTTATCATAGCAAACGATACCTGACACATATTTTATACAACAACAAAAAAACCAAATAAAAAGAATCATAGTAATTGTACTCTCTTTAATTACAATTTTTATATGAAAAAACTAATATCAAATTTCTTATCTCTTCATTTTTGTTTTATATCTTTAAACCTAAAGAAAAATCTACTAGAGAAATTATTTGTGAACTATCTTAGTGTTTAAAATATATCTAGCATGCTATGATAACGTTCAGCAGGGTTGATTTAAAACTATACTACGTTCTTGGCAAATAGTCTCATCTCTTCTTTATACCTCTCCTAATATACATTTATGTTGATTTATATACACAGTGTATACAAATAATCTTCAAGCAAATACCCATAAGGAACAGGAAGATTACCAACCAACGATTTAGATACTAAATACCACCCCACCCCCATTTCTCCATCCCTCTCATTAATCCCATAACGTTGCACACGATTGCACATGCTTGCATTTACATTTTTTTTTTTTTAAATAATATTTTAATACACTATGTGTGTAATATATGATAAGAAAATCATGAATTATGTAAAATTATGATAACATTAAACGTGTTAAAATGATGTTAAATAATTTCAATCAAACTTTATTCGTATCTTTCTGAAAATATAAAATTTATGGGGGTGAGGGGAGAAGTTGAAGGTGACTAGGGTGAGGAGTGGGGTTGGGTGGGAGGTTTGAGTGGTTTTTCAAGAAAGAGAAAATCAAAAGAGATGACAAATTCAATTCGAGTTTACGTCATAAATGGGGAAAGGACGAAGAGAAAAATAAATTGAATATACCACACGAACGAATAGTTTTTTTTTTCTTTATCTATATTTTTTTTTATAGTTTCTTCGTCGTATATTGATAGAAACCGACTCTGACTTGAACGTCCACGAAGTTCTTTTCCATTTGAATCAAACACGACCATGTTTTTCCGCTTGTTTCTGTTACACAAACTATATATATGTGTGTGTGTGTGATCCTGTTTAAAGGAGATTGAAATTGACTTTGGCTACTTTTTTGTTATTTCTCTTTTTTTTTCTACAGGGTGGAGCAAAAAATATATTTTACGATTTGAAATAAAAATATTTTTCATATTTTTACAAATCTAATTATAAACTGACTTACTTTAAAAAGAAAAAAAGAAAAACTTTCTACAAAATAATAATAATGATAATAATATAAATTATTAAAATAATTTACAAAAATATTTCTATCCACTTTCTTACGTAAGATTTAATTACGACAATTCAACTTTTACAGTTGAATCATACAAAATTTGAGGGGAAAGGAAAAAAACAAAGTATCTAAAAAATATATTTGAATCACCCTGTACGTAAGATTTGATTTTCTATCTTTCTTTCTTTCTAACACACACACATACACACACAATTGTTATTTTAAAAGAGAGAGAGAGAGAGGATAAAGTTAGTGCACTCATGTAACCACCACTGGTGTTTATTCGTCATAGAAATACAACTTCTGTGTCTCTGGTAGTTGTCTTTTGGAAAGTTTTTCGTGATCCCGATGCCGTGGAGACACCCCAGAGTCTCAAGTTTAGATGTCGAAGTTAGTCAAGTACTTTATTATATATATACATATATATAGGGTGTATATTTTTTATATATATATATAGAAACTTTCGTACAGTTCAAACTTAAACTTTCTCGATGTAGAAGAAAGAGAGAGAGAGTACACGATTATATTATATATTTATTTTTTGTTTTATGAAATTTTTTTAGTTTGGTCTTTCGAATTAATTTTTTATACTACGATGTATCCAACAAATTTTCTTTATATAA